GGGGGGAACTGCCCACTGGAACTGCCAAATCTGGTCAAAGATTTCAAAAATACGCAATTAAATGCAATTTTAAAAACCTGTTTTAGCCGTTTCTTTTCGCTCTATAATTCATATACGGTGTAGATTATTATGAACTACCAAAGTACCAGACAATTTGATGTACATTAGTACTTTTATTTAGTTTAAGAAGAAATTTAATACTCAAATGAGTCATTCTAAATAAGCCATATGTGTGATAAATTATGCGCGAAAGGTTACTAGAGGTTACTAAAGGTTACCACATATAATACTCCAACCACTGCGTATAATAGCAAAACCACTGCGTATAACGCTCGGACCACTGCGTATCGACAAAATGCTGTTTGATCACTTACGCCAGCTATGGCTTTCCATAACAGAAAACTAAAGATGATCACATTGCTTGTTTGGCTTATGCCTGTTTATTAGGCAAGAATAGCCTGCCGGCCCGGAAGCAGTGCATTGTGGTAGGCCGAAACAATCAAGATTTGGTTATCTTCCATGTTTCGCGCACCAATATAGGTTAGGGGTTAGGTATTAGGTTAGGTTTAAGGTTAGGGTGTGCAGATGTAGGTATCCGGTTAACTTTTCAGTACACTATAATATCCATTACATAACGTTTACTATATTGGTGCGCGAAACATGGAACGATTACCCAAGATTTCATCTGCCTTATTGCTGTGGAGCGAGCGAGCCAGAAGCGAGCGAGCGTAGCAGCAGCCTAATATGTGCAGAGAGGGGGTTTTGAACTAAATTTTATTTAGCGCATGGAATTGTGGTCGTGCGTGCTTTCTATGCGCAGAACACAAATTTTAAACTCGCTCGAGTCTTCGAATTTTTATCGAATTTCTAAAGCTTTTTCAAGTCTAATGTTACGCTTACATTTGTTTTGGACTTTGGCCACATCAGTTCTATATTTTTGGTTTCTTAGTGTGATAAATCTGTGTATATAGTCTATATAATGTGGTAAATGTGCCTAGCAGTAAACAGACTTGATAGTTGATATGAAATCTGATCTTAATTTACCTGTATCTCAATGAGACGCACATGTTTAATATCTGTCACCTCTGATTGCCCTTTAACCCTGGTCTTTGCTACTACAATATATATTGCTTCTTCTCAGTTCCATTCACAGCTGACTATTCGCTGCGAGTAATCACTGTGCTTGATATAATTTGTGCTATTTACTGTAGTTCTATTTGCTGTCAATGCCCGCAGCAATCCCTACCTTGCAGGCACCCTAGTATATATATATACATATACATTAGGTCTGCTGCCTCGCTCGCTACGACAGCAACAAACTTAGCAGAAGTTACACCGAATACAACGAGTTTCACCCCCAAGTTGATTCGCCCCAAGTCGTTTCACCCCCAAGTCGATTCGCCCCCAAGTGGCTAAGTCGATTCGTCTTAAATTTCGTTGCCAAACAACTTCAAATGATGGATATATTAAAAATATAGTCAAGAATACACAGACATATAAGTGTTGTCATTGTCACTGACTAACTATTTGCAAGCTACCGTTACGCGTGCAATTTTTTTCATGAATGTTTGTAAGTTTTAAACATTTTATATTGTCTGTTTCATTCCATACATGTTTGAAAGATGAGTATAATACTGGGATTGAGTCATTTTTCTATTTATAATTTGATATTCTTTCATTTTGAATGAATATTGTTTCGTTCGGTTATTGTCAAAAACAAATCACCGTTCTGGGAATTGTTTCGTTCATCCATTGTAAAAACTAATCACTGCATTGATTACCGACTTTGTCAAACCTTTTCGCACTTTTGTTTTCGTTTGAAATGTTACGTTTTGTCAGTAATTCTGTCACCTTAATAATGAATAGGTTTTTGCACGTTTGCCATTTGATCCATATGTCCACAATACTCACAAATATTGGTGAGTTTGTTTGTTTGTAAGAGATATTAAATTCACTAGCTAACTTGGGGGCTAAACGACCAGATACTGTTACACCAGGGGTCTTCAAACCATGGGTCGCGACCCAAAATTGGGTCGCTAGCACACCCTCGAAGGTCGCAAAGCTTGTCTTGGGTCGCATGGGTCGCAATGCTTGTCTAGGGTCGCGAACTTACACTAGTAAACTTTACAAGACGAGAGATCAAGTGATAAGATGCACATATTTACATATGAATATTTCCTTGCGAAATTTGCGATTATAATGTTTTTTCACGATTATTATTAAGCACTCAAGCGCTAGATTGCTAGAATAATATGGTAAACAGGTAAACTGGTAAAGCTTTAGATATAATACCTTTTACTTCATGTAACTCAAACATTATGGCTTAGCACCACTCGGTGCGCCTTCGGCGCACGTCGTCTTCCGAAGTAGAGTCGTCGTCATACACTCGGAAGCTTTCGGTGAAAAGCCATAATGTTTTTAATTATCGAAAGTTTTATTGGCAGTGTTCAGGGTCGCGGGACACCTATGAAGCTTGGGTTTGGGTCGCCGAAAAAAGGGCTGAAGACCCCTGTGTTACACCAAGGCGCCAGCAATGACATAGCCCCGGATATCTCCAGAAAATTCTACATAGAATCCACCTTGCGCTAGTTGCTATTTGTCCTAGTTTACATTTAGCATAGAATAGAACAAAAGTACCTAACTGAGCTTTAAAATGATCTACACGAATTGACGAATGAGTATTACTGTATTCGCTCTTAATATACATAGCTGATAGCTCTAAAATGATTGGTTATTTTTGTTTGATTCTATGCCTATGTATTAAAACTACAAATAAAGTCAAGAACAGCAGTAGCTAGCCATGAGTTTCCCTAAAAGCCACAAGTGAATTGGGCGTAAACAACGTTATTAACAGCCAAATGTGTCTACTGACTCTACTCAAAAATTTAATAATCGAAGTATAGCTTCGAGAGAAGACCTTTAAAACTAAAAAATATTAACAAAAACACGTTAAAAACTTACCATTAACTCATAAAGACAGGCTGTTCTCTCATTCAAGCGTTGTATCTTTATCCATGCTCGACCTGCGAGTTGAAATTTTTATGAACCAGTACAGCGACAAAGTTTGAAATTTCGGTCGGTCTTTCACAGCAAATAACATCACAATAACTGAATGTATTTTCCTCTCCAGGGAATAAACACTTTCCCTTTCCATTGAGTTATAATTTCCACAACGAACTAGTCGCTATAACGTAAAATAAGCGGTTATTTTAAAACAAAAATGCCCAAGTATAAACGAGCGCCATCTTGTCTTCTCGAGAATCAAAAATTTTTGTTAATTTTCCCGCCAAAAGCTCCCGCGAAGTCCCGTATGAAAATGACGTCACAGGTCAGAGTCCGGGGAGGGGGGACTGCCAAATTTTATCAGAGATTTCAAAAATACGCAATTAAATGCAATTTTAGCCTGCTCTAGCTGTTTATTTTCGCCTTTAAATTCATATAGGGTGTAGATTATTATGAACTACTAAAGTACCAGACAATTTGATGTACAATTAGTATTTAATTTAAGAAGAAATGACTAAATGAGTCATTCTAAATTAGTCATGTGTGTGATAAATTATGCGTGAAGGGTTACTTATACTTACTGACGCCTATGGCAAAAAGTCAAAAGTTTGGAGGACTTATCTTATATGATTCAACATCGATAAATTTCGGCTATCTCAAAACATTTCAAAACCCTCGCTATTCCTCCCGGCTTTCAATTTGTACATAAACTACAAGTTTGTACAAGCTTAGAATGTTTGAAATGGACTTCGCCTTCGGCATTTTAAAGTCTTCAAACCGGAGAATATTTTCACAAATTCATTGCTTTAAAAACGTATCTAAAAATATTTAGAACGCTTCAACAATACTTAAAATTACTAGAATACGTTCTTGTAGCGTAAAGGATGCTTTAAATACAGAGGCGAGCTACAATAAGAACAACGGCATTTTATAGCGAGTATTGACAACATGCTTTATTGTGCTTACCACGTGTGGCTAATATTTCGACTTCGACCATATTTCTCTTCGACATGTTGGCGATTTTAATAGACTTTTTCGTCAAGAATTCGATCTAAAATTGCACACAAGACAAATATGAGCTACGTAAATTAAAGCGAGAGTATTCTCAAACATTATTAGTACAAAATTTGGCAGAAATGGCAAGAGTACGTAGCGAGAAAGAAGCGTCGAGCAGCTGGCACGGGCACCTGAAAGTCGAATTCATTCACAGCTACGGTTGAAACAAGGGCTATAAAATCAACAAAAAGAAGTCTACACGTCTATAAAAACGATAAATTCGACACAGACCTGTTCTTCGACATAGTTAAGCCATTTCGTTTCGACTGAGGTGAATTTAATTAAGTTCTTTTCCAAATTTTAAACGTACTTCGAGATGATTTGTCTCAACTTGCTTCGAAGTGAATTTTCAAATTTGCCACGATTTGCATAATACACCACGAACGCTGATTGGTTTAGCCTAGAAAAACTTCATCCTGATTGGCTACTGCTCAAGGAATCTATTCGTTTGTAATTCCCTTGGGAGAATAGGTCAATCTGGAGGGGGGGGGGGGTAAAATTCAACTTTAAATTTTGACATTTTCAGGTAAAATTTGCGTAATAAAGTCGTTATTTTTGTGAAATGATAACCACTTTTGTAAAATACAGTCAATTTAGATCCAATTCGTTTGCGAATTTGCTTTAGAAAACGCCAGAAATGCAGTCCAGGAGATTCAAAAATGTAAAAATTTTCGGGGGGAGGAACCCCCTCTTCTTTGGAAACTTAATATGACAGTGGAAATCAATCAGAAAAAGCTCTATTATAATTATTACACTTCAGGTAAATTATTAACATTGAAGTTCAAATCAGGTAAAATCCTCCGGGTTTAATTGGAACTTATGGCTTTTGGCCATTTTTTTTTCGTTTCACGTTATGACAATAACAGAATTGCGAGTTTTATCATTGAATTGTAAATATATATTTTATATACATATTATTCATCTACATAACTAGATAAATGAAATTCTACCAAATAAATAGAATTAGAACTAACTTTACAGTTTATCTAAAATTGATGTGCACAATTAAAAATTTCATTAAATACGACACTGAAGTTCGTTTTGCCGCCATTAAAATAACCTCACAATGACGTCATCATCATTCGTAGAAGGCATCAGGTTGTGACGTTCCAATGAAGACAACCTCATGACGTCATCATGATGATAAATATATTGTGACGTCACGATGGTGCCGCCATATTACAACCTTAGTGACATAATTATGGCGTCATCGTGACGTCATAATATAGTGAGACGAATGCATCAAGATATGACGTCATCTTGATGAAATTTGTCATATTATATTATATTATATTTATAATGACGTCATGTTATGACGTCACAATCTTCCTGGTTAGGTCTTCGTCGACGTGATTGAATATGACCATTGCTGAACTGTAAACAAACAGAACGTAAATTGGTCACTGATCAACTCATGCGAATTGCTGCGAGTTGGCAAGCGAGAATTATGCATGATTTCTCAACTCTCATGCAAGATACTGGACCTCCAGGAAAAACAGTTTAGAACTGATAGAGCTATCCAGTATAAATAAAGTTAGTTTATTGTAGGTTTCCTCCCGTAGTAACACTGGATCAATAAGAGATGATCCTTACTGGACATCTAGGAAGAACAGTTTAGAACTGATAGAGCTATCCAGTATGAATGAAGTTAGTTTAGTTTAGGTTTCCTCCTGTAGTAACACTGGATCAATAAGAGATGATCCTTACTGGACCTCTAGGGAGAACAGTTTAGAACTGATAGAGCTATCCAGTATAAATAAAGTTAGTTTAGTTTAGGTTATCCTGCACAGATAAAGTTAGCTGAAAATATGTCGTCAAAACAAGCCAGTAACTACATATCAATGTTCAGAAATACAGTACCTTATCTTGGTCTTCTTCCTCGGAGAAAAGAGAAGCATTTGATGGGGAGTAGAGATCTAAAATGAGAAATATATTACAATTATTTTCATATTTAACTAGAGGTCACTGTATACTGCATATCATTAATAGCCTCGAAGAATCACAGGTTGGGCAACGAGATCTTACTCTAACGAAGACGTAACATCATATGTTCCAAAGAAATGCAAGACACGAACATTTGAGCTTTTTTTGTGCGAGTTTGTATGTAATAATAATGAAAGCATTTATTTAACACAATAATAATATTACAGCAGAGCTGATGTGATCCGTGGGACTACTACTATGCATTATAACTAACGAATAATAAAATGTGGCTAATAGTAAAATTTTACTAACTAAATTAATATTTCACATAATTACAGATATAACTAGAGGGCACTCAGAGACTGCATACCTCCGCCCGTTACTCGAAAGTGAAACGCAACCTTGGAATTTCCTAAGAAATCCACTTTATAATTCTTAAGCATAAAAGATTTCAGGCCCCCGCGAATTGAAATCGAATTGCTAATAGAACATATTACTGTTGTTGTATTGTACAGTACTTGTAAAATAAAAACTTATTAAGTGTCATTAAATAAATGCATAAATTTTGCTTTATGCACTCGCGCGTGCAGTAATTTTCACAGTTGTGTTATTTTAAATTCCCAGGCAGCTAAAATCTTTTGTCTTTAAAACAATGTCGATTTCTTGGGAAATTCCGAGGTTGCGTTCTTTTTATACACCCTGTATTGAAGTAATCTAATGTTGTTAGAATTTGAATGGTTGGCACTTTGCTGAACGTAATAATGCGTAACTCCGTAAGCCTTGTTTTAGACATTGAATTTCGGTCGCGTGAAATGCAACTAAGACAATAGATAATGAAGGCCGAAGCTTAATGAGGTTTATCATCTCATTATTGTCTTAGCACTGAGTGCATAAATTATACACGTCCTAATTACGCATTCAGTAATATATTTTGTTAATTGACCGGGAAAAGCAAGACAAAATTTTGTTCATTTCTCGTTCAATTTTTAACCAAATTCAACCAAATTTTAATCAGTTCTTCCTTGGCCGATGGGAAATGCATTCAAAAAATTTCGTACGGATATGTTTGGTATTTCTTGAGTTATCGTGCTCACAGACAAACACACACACATACACACACACACATACACACACACACACATACACACACACACACATACAAACCCAGATGATTACATAACCTCCTGGCGGAGGTAACAAACCCAGATGATTACATAACCTCCTGGCGGAGGTAACCAGATGATTACATAACCTCCTGGCGGAGGTAATTACAATAAGTTGTTACATTGAACACAAAATAAGGTATAAGTAAATAGGAAATATACTGTTAAAACTTGAATAAGATAAACGATTAGGGATACTATTTCATACAATGACTTAACTGGCCAGGTGTCACAATACTTGTACACTCCAGGCGTTATGTAAGCTGTATTTGCTACCACTTTTGGAGTTGTAAGAATATTTCTGGAGTTGTAAATGGAAATTACTGGAGTTGTTAGTTTTCATTTTTACTTCCTATTCCTTCAATACGTCGACATACAAATATTTTTCAACAGGAACAACGACATATAAGGTTTAGCCTTACACTAATTTAGAAGTGATTTTGACTGATGCGTAAAATCAGCAACTAAATTACGAAATGGAGTGGAAAATTTTAACATATTTATTAACAACTGCATGATTATTAACAGCAACTTTTAGCAATCTCGCCCAAGGTGTATGTAATCACGTGATGATTAAATTGACAGTCAGTGGTGTTAACGGTTGAGTAACGAATTTCTCCACGTTTTACAGCAGAAACCGAATTGGGCTTCTCGTGTTAGTAACACAAAAATATCGTTTAAAACACACAAACAAGTATCCACGAGGCATCAACGCATAGAATTTCATTAAATGTCGAATTTCTGTAATCTTCCATAATACGTATACACACAGACAAAACTAACAAAAAAAATTTATCGACATCATTGAAATACACCCTTTCGATAATTACGTCACAACTACACTGTTTTCAACTTAGGATCATCTTGAATGGAAAGGATTTCAAGTTTTTTTCTCATGGGCTATGCACAGACAAGCCGAACATCCTTCAACACATGCATGACAAATAATTCTTTATTTTGACCAATAAATGTGGAAATAAGCTTTAACACGAAAACGAGGCTCCAGGTCATGACCTGGAGCCTCGTTTTCGTGTGACCTGGAGCCTCGTTTTCGTGTTAATACTTATTTCAATGTTTATTGATCAAAATCCAAAACTTTTTTATGCATGTGTTGAAGAAGAATGTTCTGCTTCTCTGTGCATAGCCCATGAGAAAAAATCTTGAAATCCTTTCCATTTAAGGTGGTCCTAAGTTGAAAACAGTGTAGCTGTGACGTAATTATCGAAAGGGTGTATTGTACTGTATTCGTTAAATACCAATTTTTGCAAACTTCAAAAGTTATTCAGTGTCTTACTAAGGTTTGTAACACAAACTAAAAATACGTATACACACACAGACGAATGAATAACACTAACACGTACATCAATCCATGCATGAAACATCATTGGAATTTTATGCAATATTGAGTTTTTGGTAGTCAAGCACACACAGGCAAATGAGTAAAGACTAGGACAAGTTGCATGAAACATTGCGTGATAAAAAATCATTTTTAATCCTTTCTATAGACAGCTACGCTTCCGTGATTAACATCTTTGCGTTAGTCCGACATAATTTTCAGCCTTAAAAAGAAGGGTCTATTCTAGCCAAAGCAAAGCACTTTCCGCCAAGGTGAATTGCCTGAATGGCACTAGGCCATTCCTATGAAGCGACGCGTGATTTTTGCATTGCTCTGAGAAATGATTTGAGAAAAGTAATGATCTTTATTTTTCAACGCTTTTAAAAGCACTGTATATACATACCCAGTTATGATGACAAATCTACATAAACACAATCAATGACACATTATAACTCAATAAAAAAAGCCGAAGTGAACTTATATGTATAGTTCAAAAGCAACGATGTTGACAGATGACATGTTGTAGATAAAGCACAGGCAATCCAAGCAAATTTCAACCATTACAAAATATAGTTTTGAGGTATGTTAATTTACTGGAATTGTACAATTTCCTTAATAGAATACTCCCTGGTACACTCTGAAAACACCCTGGTTAAAAATGTCATGATTAATCTAAAATTAACACTTAAATTATGCATGATCTAAAATTAATCTAAAATTAACATACTTCAAATTTACCGGTTAAAGGGATACGGCAATATATATTTTTATTATTTCATTTGGAAGAACTTTTAAAATTATATGTTAATATCTTTTACCGATTTTGCATAACTTTATTATTTCTTGAGATATTTGAACAGAAAAAAATCACAAATCAGCGAGTTTTCCGCCATATTGGATTTTGGCGGATATGCATGTGACATCATAAGCAGGGTCACGCAAGAATTTTATCCATAGAGCAATTGGTTATTATGAGCCCAAAATCATATACTTTAGTAACTATTTGAAATAAAAAACTGTCTGACGACTTTTCAAACCAGACATAATGTTATTGCTGGCGCAGGCAGCTTCCTATTCTTGTGATTTGTTCCCAGACCTCTTTACCGAGCTATATGAATGCGACAATGATTTGGATTCAGCAATGTTTGGATGTTCAGTTTTATGACGTTTTGTGACGTAGAAGATATTCGACGGGTCTTTACGGAAGCTACCGGCTGCTCTTCGGGACTTGCCAAGATTTAGCACGAGGGCGAAACTTACAAGTTGGCAAGTATTTAGCAAATATTGCGACTTTTAAGAATTATATCTTCTTGTAAAGTCATTTATTAAGGTAAGATTAAAGTATTATCTACGATCCTTTTAGTTTAAGAAGAATTTTCAGGAGATTTGACGATTTGTTCTTCTATTTATATATAGGCTCGCGTTTGATTTTATAAATCTGACAGTGCATATTTGGTGTAATTGGGAATCATAATTGTGTTCACGCTTGTAGCTGATCAATATATTGATCAGACACTTTGCGTGTTGGTCACGGTGTGGCAACAGGCAACTCAAATGAAATTTACATCAATTGTAAACAAGCAAACAGAAACAAACGAGAGCCAATTGCCATCAAAACAAACGAGAGCCATTGTACGAAGGTATCACGTGACTCAGAGCTACAGTATATCATATATAAAACTGCAAATTATACAGGGTGCTTTTAACATAATTTCCATATTCTTTCCATGTATATAATCTCACGATTGCTTAATAAATCTGGTAGGCCTATGTGGCTGCAGTGCTTTTTGTCTCTGGTCTGCAATGACAATGACATGCTTTTAAAAAGGTTTATTTATAAAAAGGTGACTGCACTTTGTGAGTTCTTATATATTATCATATAGTGTTGATTTATTAGTAATAAATCTGTGTATATAACATAGGTATATAAATTAATATAACGCAGCAAATGCGCGCCAAGCAGTATAAATGCGGCTGAAATAGGATATTAAAATCTTGAATGTGCCGTATGATTTAAGTACTGTTTAATAAACGAGCAGGAGTGTTTTATTAGGTTTAAAGACACGAGCGCGCAGCGCGAGTGGCTTTAGACCTAATAAAACACGACCTGCGAGTTTATTAAACGGCTTCAAACACGACTACAAATTCAATAGATATACCGCCTTATTTGTATTCTTTATATAAAAAATACTAATGAGGACACGACAACAGTAGATACTGCCTTATTAGTATTCTTTATATACAGAATACTAATTAGGAGTGTTTTATCAGGTTTAAAGCCACTGCACGTGACATATTATAGTTGACATGATTTGCCCATAAGCTTATGAATTATTAATGAGTGTTTGAATTATGTTTTAGGATTTAAAGCCTTTAAAAATGCTTTGTCATTTGTATTTGTATGCCTACTTGTACTTGTACTGCATCACAACGCAGTGCGTAAGTGAACAGATTCCACATGTGAGGTTGTCTTGTATATATTTTTGCCTTCTTTGATAAACATTATTAATTAAACACGCAAATTTAGTGAGACGCACACTCACACATGTTAAATGTCACCTGCATGTCATCGTCATTGCCCTTTAACCCGTGGTCTAAATCATATGATTATTAAAGCGGGGCCGTTTTGACTTTGGGCATTTTTGACCTAGCACCGTATTTGTGGGCAAATTGTCTATACAATTTTATATACTAGATATCACAGCCATACCTGCCATTTTGATCTTTTCCTCGCGTTAGATAAGTTGATAAGTACACTCATTCTTGTTAGCCATCGTACCTGTTCGGCTGTTCCTCTTTCGATACAAAACTTCGAGCGCCGAGTTATCATACGGCACATTCAAGTGTATAAATTATGGATGATTCCAATTCATTACGAATATTTCTTACTCTTATTCTTTAAAATATTAAGAGGCAATTTTTTGTCAATGTCACGTATTTGCAATGAAAAGTGTTCAAAACCTAGAATCTTTTTGGCGTTCCTCTCAAAATTACTTTGTTTTAGCTCTATTCTCTACAGTTTATAGAGTTAGCTACCTTTTTAAATGCGTCTGCCGGTTGAGAAACATACAATAATAGTTAAAAATTGCCAATTAAAATACAATTATCAATGATGCCTTAAAATTGACGCTATATTTACAGCCATTTAAGGCAAAACGTACTGAACTTCAGACATCATTTTCTCTTTGGCGTATCATCTAAAATCTCTTCATTTTAGCATTATTTTACAGATAAAGCACTAAACATACTTTTTAAGGTTTTTTTCACCGATTGAGAAACGTATCGAAAAATAAAAATTTTGATTTTAGTCATAATCTCATGTGGTATATTATACGCATTAGTTTTGAGCGCGTGTTACGTAACATACAAAAAATCTCATTTAAAGATTTGGGAACAATGCTATACCAAGGCAGCATTCACTACCCTGTGGGTAAACTAGTTTGGTCATTTAGATCTAGTTTTTCTGGCTAACCCTGCTTATGACGTCACTAAAATCACCGATAATGAGATAAAAATTAATCCAAGATGGCGGACAGCAAATTATTTTAAATCAAAATATTTCAAGAAATAATAAAGTTACGCAAAATCGGTAAAGGAGATTAACATATAATTTTAAAAGTTCTTTAAAATGAAATAATAAAAAAAAATATTGCCGTATCCCTTTAAGTTAACCACGGTCCTGCATGGCTAATTTAACCAGGATTCCACCCCCGAGAATATGCTAATTAAAGTTTAGTGCATATTTTCCCCTTTATACCCCAGGTATAGAACTCGCATGAAATAATCACTGTGTCAAATACTTTTTCAGTCATCGCCACGTGCTCATGGTGTAAGAGTGAACTGCATATGTCCGGCTGGTGTTTACACTGACATGGTAACGGGCATCCTTAATTCTGTATGGGAAGGAAGGTACAAACCTCCTCAGGATCTTTTCGATTCCATGCCGAAAACTCACGAAGCGGCCCTGAAGATCTACTTGAAGTATGTTCATTTGTGTTTGTAGCTTGTATTGAGTTGGTTTGGGCATGGCTAAAACACAGGAGTTCTGGGTATTATACCGAATAACTAATTTTTACAATTGGGTTATAATTATGTTTATAAAGAAACCTGTCAAAAGATAGGAAAAAAATATATTCCCTTGAAATCTGGGGTTTGTTCCAGTCACGTTTTATTTGCTTGATAAAATAGTGACCCCGGGACATTGTTTAATGATCGAGCTTTCCTGGGAAAAGCCATAGTTTTGTTTATACGTTTTCTCCAGAACTCAATACAATGCAAACCCACGTCCTGGACAAAACCTTGACTGCGTCCTGACGGTATTACGTCACACGAAAATCATTTCCGGTCAAGGTCCTGGACGGCAATATTCTCGATGCTTAAGGTCTCTAATATAATTAAAAGTGCGCACGGGTAGAAATTGTTTTGACCCAATTCGCAAGCGCGACAAGATTGGACTCTCCTGAGGAAAATAACCATACAAAATGTTTTTAACCCTGTGCATTTTACCTGCGTTTTTTTATTTTGTTTCCATCAAATGAAGAGTCCTGAAATTAGTTACCTCAAATGAAGGCAATTTCTCACCCTAGTGCATGCTCCCCAGTGATTTACTCTAATTTGTTAATTGGCAACGTAAATAAGGATAACTGATTGATGGTATTAAAAGCCATTATAAAACTGTTCTAGCCATGCACCTTTAAAAGTTATGTTAGTCATTGAACATGGATTAAATCTAATTTACCATACTTTTATTTATGATATGGGATGTCATGTCACAACCTCAAATTCGAACTGAACCACGGATCCCGTCATCGGAGCTAGCCCTATAGACCTTGGCTTCGCCCGGAATAATCGGCTTGGACTTAAAATCTGGCCTAGTTCTCATTTTCAGTTTTGAAATATTGGATTTCATACCGTTTTTAATTCTGACGAATGCTACACCTTCTTTCCTAGACCGTCAGACGTTGTCAATGAAGTGATGAAACTCATAAATGACGAGTCAAAAAATGGTCAAGTGTTATTAATCACAAAAGATCCAGAGGGTCCCATGCAGGTGAAGGTTGAAAACATCGAGTTAAAATAACTGACGTTATGTACACTTATTATCAAGTTTGAAATGCTTAATGTTCGCCAATAGAATCCATCTTCTTAGAACTGCCTCCTGCAATTTAGTCAGTTTGATCATCCTACAGTAAGTCCTTGTTTTTTTCTCTTTAATATAAAAATTGTTCACTGTATGTTGTTCACTGTATTGGCCGTTTTTTCCACCTTTTTCAAAAGTGAAAAAAGTGGCTAAGAATGGACGAAATGTTAAGCTATACCCTTACTTTTTTGCCATTTTTTGCCCCTATTTCCAAAAATGAAAAAAGTGGCTAAAAATGGACGAAAAGTTAAGGCTATAGCCTTACTTTTTTGCCCCTTTTTTCCCCCTTTTTCAAAAATCAAAAAAAGAGGCTAAAAATGGACGAAAAGTTAAGGCTATAGCCTTATTATTTTACCTTTTTTTGCCCCTTTTTCCAAAAATGAAAAAGTGGCTAAAAATGGACAAAAAGTTAAGGCACTTCCTGACGCTGAGGACAAGGTACGTTCCTGACGCTGAGGACAAGGTTCCTTACGCTGAGGACAAGGTTCCTGACGCTGAGGACAAGGTTCCTGACGCTGAGCACACGGTTCCTGACGCTGAGCACAAGGTTCCTGACGCTGAGCACAAGGTTCCTGACGCTGAGCACAAGGTTCCTGACCCTGAGGACAAGGGTCCTGACGCTGAGCACAAGGTTCCTGACGCTGAGGACAAGGTTCCTGACGCTGAGGACAAGGTTCCTGACGCTGAGGACGAGGTTCCTGACGCTGAGG